CCTGATCTCTGGTATCGCTTGGTGTTTGTTGTTTTTTTCTTGTAGTGTTTCGGCTGCGTTTTCAATTTTCTACAGTCTAATTTGGCAAAAGAGTGTCAGTGAACAGTGGCTGTCTTCGATGCTTATCTCATTCGCGCAGGATGTAACAATCAAGGAACCAGTAAAGGTGTTCTTCACAGCTTTAACATTTGCGGTCATTTTAAAGATAAAGGCGAAGAAATCAAAAGCACACGCCTGCGAAAGCCCTCAACAAGTTAAAACTGGGTACTATGAGAAACATTTTTGGACACTGCAATTATCAGATGTGGAAGAGATGAGGAGACGACAAGTTAAGAAACAGAACGTGACACGTTATTTCACAGAGTTGGGTTTATACTTGGTCTTCGTTTTCTTGCTTATGGCAGTGTGCTATGGAAACAGAAACGACCATCGGTACCTGATGACGAAATCAATCCAGGATGGACTACCAAACTTTGGCAAAGTGAGTAAGCATCATTTGATTATGATAAATCCATTGCTGAAATTCGTGTGTTTAATTTATCTTTCCCACGGAGATCCAAAATCAAATATATGAAGTAAAATTTTACTTTGCCGGCCTCTTCAAGAACTGACTAAGGCATTTTCTGCTTTTGTAACGGATATTTTGAGTAGGAATATCCCTTAAGAACAGGGTACCAGAGATATGTTAGTGCGCGAGACCCAAATTCAGGACTGGAAAGAAATTCCAAGCAATAGATGTATAATCCCATGAAGACATTGGCATTCAATTCTGCTATAGGAGAAGAGCCAGAAAGCGGCAAACATAATATTTGAGGGGATGGGTGCAATGAAAATAAGCAAGAGAGAATAATAGCCTAAGACACGGTCATAAATAGTAACTCGCTTGTGTGACTCAAACTTCTGCTCGTCTATCCATACAGCTATACTTAAAAAAAAATTATATATATATATATAGGAAGTCTATGTTTCGGTTTTTCCGTATTACAGTGCTTGATACATGGAAGTACAGCGTGATATGAATTGAGCTAGGGAAAAAAAACAGAGACCAAGGTTTTTCTCGACAAGCCTGTTTCGTGATTAGATCATTCTTCAGGGGATTTTAATGGAAAGAATATTTGTAACCATCGAAGATATACTATAAAATTTGCATAATAAATGCGGCGGTAAATTTAGGTGCTTTGTTCAGCTGTTGCGCAGTAACGCTTTGTTTCTGTGAAGGTATGAATACACGGGTTCATTACCCTTGTTAACTGATGACAATTCAATTAACAATTCATTTATATATATATATATATGTATATATATATATATGTATATATATATATATATGTGTATATATATATATATATATATATATATATGTATATGTATATATATTTATTTATTTATTTATTTAACCCAATGATCTTGTACTAGTTCAGGTGACAAACAATACAATGTACTGGAGCTGGTTAGAGCGTGTTTTCATCCCAGGTGTGTTTTCCGGCAGATGGTACAACGGTCAAAGGGATGAGCAAACAATTTATATTGGTAATAAACACTCTCTTCTCGTCGGAATGGCTCGAGTAAGGCAACTCAGAGTGAAAGCGAGTAAGTTTTTTTCTATTTTTATTCCTCTTTGCATTTCAGTGAAAGGCTATTTACCCACACACGTCATTTCACATATTATAGTTATACATATATAATTTTGCCTGATAGAGAAGCAATCGGTGCACAAACTTAATTATAGAGTTAAACAATAGCTTATTGAAATTCTTAAAGAAAAAATATTGAACATGCACTGGTTACAATTTTCTCGACTCCTGACCATTCTGACAATTATCTAGACGAGTGTTTAGGTAGGTGCGTTTTATTATGAACGTTGATTAAATTTAGGTTTTGATGACGGCGCTCCTTTCCTCCGAAAGCAAATGCTACTTTGAAGGCTTCTTATAATTATCCATAACAAGAGATGTCCATATTTGTTAAAAGTACGAAATGTGCCATCCCTGAGTGAAATGAACACCAAAAAAACTTCCTAATCATGATCTTTTGTTTCAACTTTCAGTGCAATGTAAAGTCCTAAACTATATGGAAACATCGTTCCAAGAATGTTTCAAAGGATACTCGACAAAGAACGAAGACAAGACCGCCTACAACAAACCGGGCTGGAGGCCTGTCGACAATGCTGCAAGGAGTGACGAGTTATTACAACTTTGCCCGAAGCCATGGCGATATCAACATGCTGAGGAAACCGACAATACACCCAGGTGGGGACATTTCTCCTTTTATTATGGAGGAGGATTTGTAGCAGACCTCGGTTATGATAACCATACGGGGTTCAGCATAATAAAAAATTTACAAAACAACGGTTGGCTTGACAGGCAAACCAGAGTTGTCCTAGCAGAGTTTTCCACATTCAATCCGTCGGTGAATATTTTAAGTGTTGCCACATACTTCTATGAAGTTGATGCATCTGGACTGAGAGCAGCCTCCATGCAAATTCGTGTTCTTTCACTTGATTTTATGGGCACACCCTCGCATCAGTTTTATTTGATTTGCTTGTTCCTGTACATTGTATTCGTTTTTCTGTATTTTGGAAGGGAAACTTTCAGACTTTACAGTCATCGTTCTCGATATTTCAAGTCAATCTGGAATTGGGTCGAGATATTTCAAATTGTTTCTTCACTGATTTCCGTGGTGATGTACATAATACGACAAAGGAAAACCATTTCAACCATGGGAAAACTGCATAAAAACATTTACGGAAATCTAAGTTTCCAAGAAGCTATCACTTGCCAAGAAGTGGAAAATGTGGTACTTGGAATTCTTACTTTCATCGTCACCACCAAGCTATTGCGAATCATTCGCTTCAACAACTATGTTGCTTTATTCTCCACAATATTGAAGATATCTGCACGATCTTTGTTATCCTTTAGCATCGTTTTATCCATTTTCTTTGTGGCATTTTTGCACTTCGGTGTCTTAGTGTTTGGCTGTGTATCTGAGCGCTACTCTTCGGTGCTAAAAGGAGCCTATTTCCAACTCGAGCTAACTCTTGGTCGAGTGAAAGCTAGACCAATCAATGAATTAGCACAGGCCGACACCATATACGCCAAAATATTCGCCTTCTTAATTCTCTTCACTCTCACTATTCTCTGTATGAACTTCTTTATTGGCATAATCAACGATGCTCTTTTGGATGCTAAGAACTTTGTGAGCGAAAGTGAGCTGTATGATCTTATCGATGAGAACCGTTGCTCGAGCTCAAAAGAAAGAAAAGAGTTTTTCGATGCAATCAGTAACAAGTTGAAACAGTCGAGAACCTCTAAAACGTCAGCAGAAGTGAAGGATAAAGAATCTGGGAACATTGGCCTTGAACCCACGAACAATTCCAATCTTAACTTTGATTTAATAAGTCAAGCTATCATAGCTTGGAGGAAGAAAAGATCCAGAGAAACAATAGATAAACGGCAATGCAGTACAAGGAGACAAGCATTGTTCGACAGGATAAGCAACATGTTAAAATCTCTGAAAGGTGAAAGCAATGACGACTGCAGCAAACGTACAGAAAAAAAGAAAGTAAGATTTCGAGAGGATGTCGTCGAGTCTTCCTTCCGTAAATTACGTAAGAGAGAACATGACTTGTTACAGCGGCTGGAGAGTATTGTTTCAGGGTTCACAGCAGAAGACGAAGAATTCGATTATTTATTAATAACAGCAGAGGTCTATCTCTACTAGGTAGAGAGAGTAAAAAGAGAAGGTGAAAGGAAGTAAAATATTTCATCGAAATCATTTTAAAAAAAACAGATCGTTAAGCATAAATCATCTCGAACACACAAAGAAATAGCAGGAATTCCCCAGCGTTTCGTAGCATTGTGGCAAATAACAAAAAGAGGATAAATACTTAGACAGTCATTTTTTTTTACATTTTTTATAGCTGATCTCAAAGGAAGAACCTGTATACAATTTTTCTTTGGAGCCTATTGATTGGTTACAAATATGGCTCGTATTCAACGGCAAAAAATATGAACTGCTTCATATCATTTAAAATAGAGTTACACGAAGGAAGTTAAGTATTGTTATGTTATATAATCCGTCTGTTATATATATTCTGCTGCAAAAAGATGGAACGATTTAGACGAATATGTTCGAGCCTCAATGACTTTAAAGATTTTAAAATTGTATTTGAGACTATTGATCATTTTATTGTTTAGCAACAAGTAGCCTTTACTTATCTTATTTAATATATTTGATTGGTTTCATTTATTGAAATATAATAATGAAATTGAATTAGTGTTTTCCATGAATAAGACTTACCTATTTACTCACCTAGACAGTTTCTTTGTTTGGAGAAATTAGCACCACTATGCTACTCTAAAATTTGGAACGGAAGTAAAGTTATTATGTATGTATGTAGGATTAAAATTTTGCTGGTATCGAGCGTATTGACTCACTCCATTGGTGACGACTGATCCTCCAACTGTGCCACCTTAAAACCATGGGATCCTCCTAATACCCCCCCCCCCCCCACCGCCCCGCCAGACGATTGATAATGACTGATCCCAATAAGGAGCACTTCACGCGTGCTCCAAAAATTAATTGATTTCATTGATGTCAACAAAGGGCTAAAACGCAGTGGGCCGCGACCATGGCCAAACCCTTCACGTCCGTGGTAAGCTAGATGGCGCTTCCTGCGTAAGTGATAGCTTCTCAGTCGCATTTTCCCCAATTGGCTTTTGCAAGGACATTCTTGGTTGTCCGGTACGCGTAAAACTAACTGAAACTTGTTTATTCGCGGGGTTTTCAGGTTAAACCGCGCAGTGGTGTCTAAAACTGCCCCTTATAAATGTTGCGTTCAGAGGGGACGCTAAAAGCAATTTTTTGTTCGAGAAGCATCGGGGAAAGATGTATATAGCCATGCTCTGACATCAACGATCAAAGCGTGAGGATTATTTTCAAATATATTTATTAAATGAATATTCTACATTGTAATGTTAGCGTAAAATAAGTTTGCAGTCAGTACATGTACAATGTTATTCCAGTTCTGATCATTTTGGCTGCATGTTACTTCAGTGCACAGAGTTGAATAATTCCACTGGTTTAAAAACTTTCGCCAAAGAAAGAGCCATGAAACTTGGAGGGTATTTGAACTTTCGATGGCTTTAAAAAGCAAGCTGAATGCTGGTTGATTTCCTGCCATATGGAAATTAATTGAAAAGGTCTAGATTGTTGGGGAAACATTCATCAAAGGGCCTCGTAGGTCCTTTCCATTGAACACGTAAGAGTGTTTTGTCGGCATAACATTTTTTGTCGCCAATACGAGCTTTTTCAACGTTGGAACAAAAAGCAATCTAGGAAAGAGAAGGTAATTTAACTGGAACTTCGTAGTCCTGATCGCAATGTTTACTGTACAAACAAAATCGTGTAAAGTTGCGCTATTTACCTAGAAAACAGCCTTTTATTATTTCAACTTACAGAGGTTTTGGCATGCAAAACGCGAAACAATAAAATTTACGAGGAAGCGATCGCCAAGTATCATCAACGTTTTTTGCTCATAACTTCTTTTGTTGGTGGTGTTGTCACCGAGCCCGTATTTAAAGAGTGCAAGTTTAGTTTCCTCTACTTGCGATCCAAGTCGCTGCTCTTAATGACCAGCGGTTGCATGCATACCAAAGGGCATTTAAGTTAAAGGTTAGACCAATGCCATCATTATTTGAAGTGACCATCAATCTTCTCGACGGTAGCTTCTTAATTCACCACCGATTCTAAAGCCTGCTAAACGCTTTGAAGTCTTTTCTGGGCCGTTAGTTGATGCAAAGTATAAAATATTCCTTTTTGAATGTTACCGACGGTTGGCGCGTAAATGGACATAAAGATCGGGTGACGGGTACAAGGTACGTTGTCATAGTTAGGAGCCTGCCTTGTTTAGTATCTTGGCATCGGGGTTCTGTATCGTGTCTGTGTGGCTAACAAAACAAAACAATTAGTAAGAAACAGCAAAAAAGAATTTTGGTGAGCAAAATTGTTAAGATAAGATGGGATTGGGGAACGCTAATCATTTATCGCCTGGGGAGGTGAGGATTTTCGGGAGATCACATGATTTTCAAGGGAAACGAAAGGAGCTATAGAGGTTTGACTGCCAATTTACTGCCAATGAAGGGGGGGAGGGGGTAGGCATAAGAATATTACAGAGTCTGATGGGGAATCAGGAAAATTTTCTCATCACCCAACCATCCCCTCCGCCATTTTTTTTCTTAACGACAAAACGACAAAACTTACGTTTGGGAAGCATTTCATCATCTTCGTCATCGTCCAGCATTCTCCTTTGTTTACGAAGCTTTTGTCTGCAGAGTTAAACATGATATAATCTTATCCTCTCAGCTACTAAATTGCAAGTAGGCACATAGCGAAAAAAACTGTTTCGAGACCTTATTCTCTAAATATAGTATGAGTGCTTCACCACCAGGTGTAATATGTTTTTTTAAAAAGCACTGAAAGTCTATTTCTTAATGTGAAGTTACTGCCAAGCTTTAAGATCTGAGAACATTATCCAGAGGCTGACGTTTTTTCAGGCCTGAATAGCAGAGGAGCTATTCATTATCTCACCTTTTCGTGCAAATGCACACAGCCCATATTACTCCGCCGATTCCAGCCACGAAAGCTAAGGAAGCAGCTATAATGTACACGATCATCCAGTCTGCAAGAGAATACTTTAAAATTATCGAAATATGCGCTTATTTTTCCTAAACTGAAGGGCTTGAATTTTTTTTCAGCAGTAAAGGAAAGCTAGTATAATTATTTTCGTATTCATTTCCTGTGAAATTGACTAAAGGTACAAATTCAATTACAATGCAAATTGAGCTGGGAGCGGAATTTTTTGACAAATTGAAGATGGTGCGAAATTAAAGAAATCTTGATTATGGGTGAGGCAATTGTTATCGGGTATCAGGAATTTGTACATTCATTTTGGACTGACAACTTAGGGCTCACGAGAAAGTGCAAAACAGACGAGATGAACTAACCTTTTTCCTTTTGACCGGACGATCCTCTGTTCATATAAGCCAACTTGACGTTTGCCCCTTCTGATACGGGCTCAGCACTTGTCTGGCATAAGACACCGTCAAGACATTGAACCGCGAAACACTTCCCATTTAATAAATAAGCGATATCACACGAGGGGCGAGCACAGCATCGTCCGATGCACCGGTGGATATCATCTGCCCTACCTAGAGCTGTGAAGTTACTAGCCTTAGTTCCCGGCCGAAGTTTGATATCATTGGATATTCTGCTGTCCAACATGCACGTGGCAGAATTAGAGGCCAGCTCTGTAGTTGCAGAATCTTCTGGTGAAGAAGCAACCGCGGATAAATCTGAGGAAGTAGGTACATTAGTTGTTAATTGCCTTTCCTCGTTCCATGTAACAAAGTAAACAAAAATGACAAGAACAACCTTTACGGTAACAAATCAAGCAATCCACTGTGGGCGAGATATGGGCATCTTACCCGCTCCGTTAACCAGCCAACTTTTCACTGAAATATTGGATTTCGTTAAGCGATATAAAAAGGTTATTGAGTGGGTGTCATGGCACATTTGATAACCGTTTTATATTCTTTAGTTTTAGATAGAAATTAGTGTCTTATTAAATCATTCCCGAGGACAATCCCACTGACTCCCATTGGAAAAGTAAAATCCTCTTGGAGAGGAAAACCGGAGGAAACCATTAATGAAACAATAAAAAAATTTTCTGGGTTATTAATCCATCTGTATTATATTTTCGCACGTGTTTTCGGCAGATAAATTTGAGTTTTATGTTTCCACTTTTTTACCTATTTCTTCTTTAGGCTCCGCTTTTATCAACATCGCAGAGATCAGAGGTGTCTTCTTAGAGGCCTTTACCGAGACTGGAATACAGAAATCCTTGCTGGAACATGACACAGAATAGCATTTGTTCTCCACCATATAAGCTATATCGCACTTCTTACTGTCGCAACATTTTTCCATACATTTGCCCATAGTGTCCACGTCTTTGACAATTGTGAAGTTGTTTTTGTGAATTCCACCTGGGAGATCTTTGTCATTTGTAATGTTGCTATGTTTGCATTTGAGGTCTTTGGGCTCTAGCGGGATAGCGGGTGCTTTACTGGATTCTAGTAGAAGGAAATTCGAAAAAATAGATTTAGTGAGTTAAGACAGATTTTTGCCCAATTGCAACGAAGGGAGATACTCTGACGGACTGATTAACATACCAGAAGTTGACCTAGCCCAACGACTCGTGAAGCCGAAAGCTGAGAAAATCAACCTACCTTTTTTATCCGAAGTTTTCATTGGTCTCACATAAGAAAGCTGAGGATTGTAATCCGTTGGGGGAGCTTTTGAGTGTTCACATAGTTCTTTACTTTTACATGCTACGGAGTAACATGTCTTGCCGAGCATAAATGCAACGTTGCACTTTCCATCCCTGCAGCATATATCCTGGCATTCATCCATTCCTTGCACGTCACCATGATTGTTAAACTTTCCAGCTTTCTTTCCACCCTTCAAAGTTACATTTTTATGCACCTTCACCTTCTCACAGGCTTTTTTTCCCGAGTCGCTTTTTTCGTTGTCTTTCAACTCGGAAGAATGGGATGTATCCGAAGTTTTGCCAGAGGCGTCTTCAGATACATTCGATGCTCCGACGGGAGTCAATTCGATTTTTCCGTTTACGATGTTCATTTTCATAGCTTGGCCAGCTGCAGCTGACTTGATCTGACTCTTGAGGCTTTGATCTGTCTGCGCAGCCGCAATGTCGGTTTTCTTGGTCTCCTGCTGATTTGTGATTGGTTGAATTTCTGCGGGAGTTTGTGGTACCAATGGTGCTATCTTCTCTGCCGGTGTTGTGAGGGGGACTGGAAGCTGCATACCTGCTTAAAAAAGGCGATAAATTCTCCTTTGAACATTTATAAGCTCCTCTTCAAGATCTTATCTGTTTTTAAATGAGATAACTTTGGCTTTAAACTCCTCAACACGCGCAATCCGATCGGTTCCCTCAAGGTTTTTTATGACACAAAAATGTGCCTTGTTTAATCCAGCCAATTTTACACTGAATGACCGATTTGCCCCCCAAATTGATACATTTTATTTCTCACCTCAGAGAAGTTATAAGCTATTTTTTCCTATCTCTTTTACGCTCCGTCCTCATCACATGGATGTTAAAGAGTAACACGACTGATAATCATTCCTTTAGAAAAATGAAAGCATATCCTCCACCAAAGTAATTTTTTGTGCAGGTCCATGAAGTCTTCAGAAGAAAAGTTGGCAAGGATTGCAAATTTCCTGCATACCTGCATTGTTGCCAGGTGAAATCCCTGGTTGTGGCATCATAGGATTCTGTTCGACGGGTGGGTTGGACCCAAATGGAGACGGAGGAAGTGGAGGTGGCGCCAATGGTGATGGCGGCTGCTGTAGGCTGATCAGAGGGTTCTGTCCTTGCATTTGCGTCTGCGAAAACTGAGCCATTTGTGTCGCGTCTGCTGCTGGACCTCTCAGTCCAGGGATCTGGGGTGGCTGTCCTGGCGTGGTCGGCTGTACCAACTGGGTTTGCGTCAAACTTGGGATGGTTTCTTTTGTTTGTGTTTCTGTTACTTTTGGGACTCCTGAAAATTTGTAGACGGCTGATATTAGTGCTTAATAAAATAAAATCAAGTAAACTATTAGTGTGACTAATATACTTTACATAAAAATGTGTTTGTGACTTTGCCAAGAAACTGGACAAAGAACAAGAATAATAAGTGTTTTGAAAGCATAATGAACAACTTCAGCCCAAACCCTGAATTACAAACCGTGTTTTTCAAATAACCGGCCAGATTGGATCTAGTTGAGCCTTTCGTCTTCCTGAAAATCTTATCTCAATTTTTTTGCCTGCCTCAGCCACTGCACGAATGGGTGAATCAAAATTGGAGAGCGGGGTTGTTTCAAAGCAGTTTTGAAAAGCAAATTAGGATTTTTTCGAGTTTTAGGGTTGTTTGAAGTCATCCTCTTTCCCTTTTTTCATATGAAAATTTAAGTTTTATTTCATTCTGAAGCCCGTTTGCTTCACCAACAAAAGCTCAGTTGCTTTAAACATTCCTCTTTTCAGGAAATAAAAAACAATGGGATCAGTTCCTAAGATGAAAAGAATCTTAAAGAAGTTTCCGAATAATGGTGCTCTCTAACAACAAGTCTCCACACTGAGATTTTAGTTCTAGGCGAACTATCCACGACTTGTCGACGCTGAAGTCCCTTGCTCTTTGATGTGTTGGTGACTTAAAGCCTTGTTTTATACTTACAGACAAAAATCGTTTTCATCTGTTTACAAATGATAAGCATGTGAATAATCTTACCTAGCAGTGCATTTGTCTTAAAATCCCTTACATATGATATTTTAGGGTTGTATCTCGATGGATTAGCTCCCTGAGTCTTACACGCATCAGCGCTTTTGCATGCTACCGAAAAGCAATTTGAAGACAGCATGAAGGCCAAATGACAGTGTGGCATCTCACAACAGATTCGTCGACATTTGTCCATATCTTTAACTTTTCCTTGATCGCGGAAGTACCCAGATTTTATTCCACCGACAAGAGTTACGCTGTCTAAAACTTTTCCAGCTGGGCAAACCAGCTGAGGTTTTAATATCTTGTTTTTAGGTGAGTCTGGAAATTAAATAGAGAAAATAGCAAGCTCTGAATAAATGCAGTATTAGATGTTTTTCACCTGTTTTTAAGGTATATCATAATTTTATTTATATGCAAGTAAATGCAGTTTTATTGCTACGTAAAAAATAATATCTTCTCTATTGAAAACGCTACGGTTTTCTTTTCAAAATGGTGCTCTTAGTGTTGTTCCTCATATGTATATATATTAGTCCTCACGCTCTTGTCAACAAGGGTAAACCGAATCTTTTGCGATCACACTACCTCAATTCCACCGACAAGATTTGAAGGAATATTAAAGCGGTTACTCATAGGTAATCACTAAGAAGGTAAGTTTTTTAAAGCTCTACTCTACGTAATTCTAACTATATTAACTTACCATTTTTCATCTCATTTCTGTTCCAAACATACGCAATTTGTGGATTGAAGATGGAAGGCTGCGCAGGAATTGTACTGCACAAGTCTTTGTTATAACATTTGACCGAGAAGCAATTTTGGCCCAGCATAAAGGCCAGATTACACGTGGGATGTTGGCAGCAAGTCTCGTAACATTCCTTTATGCTTCCAACCTTGCCTGTGTCTGTGAAGTCTCCAGCTTTGAGTCCTCCTTTTAATGTCACCTTGGTCAGCGGCTTCACCGCGGGACATGTGAATTTGGTTTCGGCTGAGTCGCCAAGAAAAACTATGCATAAGAAAAATATTCGATCAGTGCAGTTCAATATAACACGGGCATTTCAAAAAGCCGAAATGGCTATCTCTAGCAAAAACGCAAAAGCAAAAAAACAAAACGAACAAATTGAGTATAAAAGTGGCAAGTTGCCCTAATCGCCTAATTATATATATTACCAAAGCTAACGAGTCTACAAATTGAAAAGAATGATTGAGATCAATTTGTTATCCTCTTTTATATATGATGCACAACCTTAGAAGCTCTATCTACCCTCATATCCAGGTATCTGCGAAATGAATTGAGGAGTTAGTAGTGTCCCCTGAGAGAGGGGGCTAGGTAACGTTGCCAGACTGAAGACGAGGGATTTCAGTGTAAAAGTGCATGTTACGGGACCAAACAAGCAAAACGAAAGACACTCTTCGTCTTATCACGAGCGTAGGACTAAGGAAAATCAGAGTCACCATAACAAATCGGGTCCCAAACTTTTAAAGTCCTCGTTCTGATGCTTTTCCACTGAGCTATAGGGAATTCAATAGCTACTAAGTACCAACAACCCAATAACTCACCATAGAGAAACAAGTTCGAATCCCGTCGAGTTTTCTAAAGCATTAATTAAGTTTTTTGCGCTTTTTTGTGAATTTCTCCGCCTGCAGCTCTCCAAGGATTATTTTCTCAACTCTGTGTCGTTCGCAGATCAAAATGCTATTCATTTCATTTAACTTTGACAAAGCTCTTTGTCGCTCTGAGTTTTGATTCCTCATTGAGACACTTTTTTTGGTTCTATACTAGTGTTGAGGCGAAAAAAAAATCTTCCTTTAATTCAGCTTCGAGCCTCAAAAATAACCATCCATCTTGTTCTATTTGCACTCAAATAGCGCTCAATTTGCAGTTTTGTCGAAGATTTAACATACCTGAATGTTTCACGCCCTCCTTGTTCCATCTTTCAATGTAAGTCACAGATGGATGATACGGAGAAGGCTTTGCTTTTTGTATCTGACAGTTTTTGCCTTCTGAACATCCAACAAGATAACATCTACTTGAAAGCATAAACGCTAAATCACAAGCCGCGAACTCGCAGCATTTACCAGAACATTCCTCCATGCTTTTCACAGAGCCAACATCTTTATATGTACCGGCATTAATGCCTCCTTTTAAAGTCACTTCTTTGAAAATTTTTCCTGGCTGGCATTGCCCAGCCATAGATGGGTTAACAATGCTCGATGATGTTTGTCCCTGTGCGATGAGACCTTTTGGCGTGTTAGCAGATAGGCCTCCCTGATTTGAGCCCAAGAAACCATTTGGATGTGGTTTAACATTCGATGTGAAGTTAGGAGTAATAAAAGCTAATGATGTGTTATCTGAAACGAATAAAAGAGAAATTCTGTCAGGATATTATTCATGAAATTATCATAATTTTTTTTTTCGAAAATTTATGAATAGAGCCAATGAGTTTTTTAAAAGTTAGCGTAAATGTAATTGGTATTAGTTCATCATAATGATCAATGCTTAAAGTTGCAATAAAATAGCATCGTAAAAATGCTCTCAATGGGATTAACTCGGTCAGCTGTAATACAGCCTCAAAAAAATTAAAGATTGTCAAAATTACAACAGTGAGTAATAAAAAAAGTTAACGGTAATTTTTTTTCTTTTATCTGCAAAGGAAAAATTAACCGTTAGGCGTAAATTGGCCAAAACTTTAAACGTTAGCCGTAAAAGCCATCACCCCATTGAGACCCCCAGAAAAAAAATCGACTGAATATAGAGGAATATTGCATAAACATCGAATAAGCGGAAAATTTTGAGGACAAGAACTGAATTGAGAAGTTCAAATTATTTTGAAAACGAATGAAACCACAATATTCAAGTTATAGCAAAAATGAACTCCGTTGGTTTAAGCTGGTTCTTCCTGTGAAATAGTTTCTCGGTGGTTGCACTATATATTCATGGCTTAATAATTGTCAGCTTGATTCACATCCGCTGCTCTGTGACAAATGAATACTCATGGACACATTAATAAGATCAGTTACATTGGACTTTTAAGACTGTTTTTCCCTTGCTCTCGACTTGAAATCGCCATGAAGTCTAATTTATCAGTCGGTAAGAGCATGGGCTGGAGTTAAAATGACAGAGCTACGTAATTAAATATGAGGCTGTGAAAGTTACTTTAATTTACGACATAATATTTTTAATCTCAGTCTTTCAGCTGTGTGTGCATGAAGGATTAACTGATTGACATATATCAAATGATTTAAGAAAAAAACATTATTCTTAAGTCACTGACAGTTTCATGAAAGCGTTCAGCAGTTTTTCATTCGCAGGAGCAAATTCATACCTTATTTTACTATTATATATGTATTGGTTATATTTTCCTATTCTAATCTACTGGAGGAACTTTCCATAATAGCTGTTTTCTTTATGCTATCGCCAATTGCTATTCAAGAGATTTTAATTTACCCACTTATTTTGAGGTAAATCTTGCCCTCTACAATAGACAACAAACCAGACAGAAATTGACATAGCAGAATTTGTTTTATAAGAAGAAACGGTACGCAGAAATTCCCGCTGTCCCTTTTGCTTACAACCTGTTTTCACCATTCTTTCTTTCCGGGTGGCTAGCTACCTTTCAGGCTTTCAATTCTGAAGCCGATCAAAGATTAATGAGTGTAATCGCCGGAAAAATCATCGCTCGCTTCACTGAAATTTATCCCAAGCGCAAAATCAGTCCTCAAATACACCATTACGCTGCAGACCCCGTGAAAAATTTGAGATTGAATAAAGTTATCTGGAGAAGAAAGCTTTCAAAAGCGAGATTTCTTGCACAAATGCACCAATTCAACGCCACGTCAATTTCAAACAATCCATTGCTTTCATTAACGCCGCACATATCGATCTAAATGTAGAATAACGGACTGTATTTTACGGAATGAGGCTAACAGCGACTATAACCAAGTTCGTTCAAAGATTCCCACAACAGCTTATTTACCTCCGCCATTTCAACTGGCGGAGCACTAACCTTTCTTATGGCCTGTTCGCACGTGTGCTATGAGCACCTTAATATCAGATGTATCAGTAGCTGTGGCCTTGCACTCGTCATCACTCACGCATTCGACTCCATAGCACTTAGCAGCCGAGAGGAAGGCAACATCACAAGTCGCAGTTTTGCAACACAGTTCAATACAAGACTCCATGCTGGTAACTTTACCAAGCTTTCGAAAAGTTCCTGCTCCTATGCCTCCTTTTAGCGTGACATTCTCCTCGATTTTGGTGTTCTTACAGTTTTGTAGGTAGTTTGACGAGCTCTTTACTAGATTCATACACGAATAAATGTTAGTGGAACAGCACTTCACGCACACACAACTGGAAAACTTAGCAAAGCGATCTGCTACAAGTTAACTTACCTCCGCAGAGAGCACACAACCAAATGAACAGTAAGCCACTGTTCATCTTTCTTCCGAGCATCACAGCCCCGAATCTCATTCACATGGCAACATCATTGAAATTTCTCTCTTTAAAAAAATAGCTTAGAAAAAATAGCGTCATAAAATAAAATACCTATTAATTTAACCGGGTTGTTTTTTAAGTTTTTGCCATATTAGAGTTGTATTCTTTTGTTATCAAGGAAAGAACTCGATCCCGCCGAACAATAGAACACAATTACATCATCAAGATCTCAAATTTTGTCCAATCATGCTCCGTGTTTTGCTCACGTGATCTAGAAGTGTAAAATCCGCCGGGATATTCTTTATGTACAAGAATATCGTCATACAAGAGGAATTTCTATGGACGAGTGTTAGGAGGAAGTGACTGGTACCCCAAAATACCTGTATTTGTATGACATAGTAGAAATAAAAACATATCTTGATAGTCCATACACCTTGTAATTTTTTTTTCGCTTTAAATTTGTTAAACAAAGATTCATTTTTTATTAACTTGTCCGATGCGGCCTCCGCGGAAATCTTATCGACATACCGCCGACGAGGGTTGTAACAGACACAGTATACGCTAGGTTTATATCTCCAATTTGATTTTGTGTTACAGTAAGAAAGCGTATTATAAAGGTTATCTTGCGTGACAGACAGACAGGAGAAAAAAAAAAACGGCATCCAGAGTCACCCTACTTTAATTAGGCTAAGTCAACTTTGCCTCAAGTTATGTTTTCGTGTTTTGTTTTTTTTTATTATTATTATCATTTGGTCTTATTTTGGTTTTCTTCGCAAATTACTTGAACTACCGAGACATAGCTGCGTTCAACCTGATGTTTGAAGCTTGGTGCGCCCCAACCGATAGGCGAAGCGTTTTGTTAATGGCCTAATATTGTCGTAGGTTTTATTTCACAGATATTTATTTCAAAGGATCAAAAAACGTACGTTCCCCTCGTCACTTAGTTTTATAATTCGTCCCTTAGTTTTATAATCGCATGCAACGTTTTCCTCGTTAAATAATATAGATTATCACGAGTTTCAAGTGGTAAAAAAGTCAGTGCATTTTTTTGTATGTTGATAGACGTAAGTTGAGAAACTGTCTTTATTTTCACCGTCTTAGAACGTGTTGTATATTTTTTTAAACTGTGCAAACAGTACTTGCAAATTCAAAACAACAAATCAACCGGAAACAATAACTGTAGAGCCATTGCTCTCCGTCAATTATATTACTGTGTTTCTCCTTTGCAGATATTAGGTACAACTTCTTCTTCAATTCGAAAGGTGATCTTCATTCTTGAACATTTTAAATAGGTTCAGTGAAGATAGATTCTCTATTCGTATTACTGTCAAGAGAAAACCACTGCTTGTGATTTAACAAGAAGACATTTAGCGAAAGTTAAGGACCGTAACGCTCATTTCTGAACCATGAAGTAATATAAATGAATTTCCCTTTAAATTCATCGAACCGAATGGGCACCTATATCGCTTGACTAGCCAAGTGACTCGTGTGGTAGATTTCTACTACGGATGGTTGCCTCGGACGAGTTTTTCTGAGAGCAGCGAATGAATGTCATACATTACCTGAATTGAGTTAAGTTGAGCTAAGACAAATGTGCCCTTGGTTATATATCATAATTGACAGAATCGAACCAGCCAAAAGGCAGGCTTCAGTTACTCAATTGCTCTAAAATTGACCAATGACAGTAGACACGTTCTATCAAGAGTGTTCGTGCTCGTTTAGGGGATCATTTTGAAACTAATTTTTTGTAAAAATTTGTGGGAATAGGTGAATTAAGGGCATAGGATTATCTTAAAAAATCATAAATCAGATTATCATAAAAAATCATAAAGTTCTACGTTATTATTTGTAGATCTGGACACAGAAGCAATTGCTCGTCACATGGTGTGATGTCAATTGTAGGGAAAGCTGTTTTGACAACCTGAGCGGAAGCATCGTTAATATAAACCTTGGAGCCTTGAACTCGCTCTCAATGTCACCTCCTCTTAATTTTGTCATTGCATACAACAAGATTCCTGTTTCAAAATTATGATTCGACAGAAAAAAAAGTTTCGTTTCGCAAGAGGACATTACGCCTGTATCAGCTTCTAAATAAGTGTCCAAGCGTAGAGAAGAGTAAGAAACAAATTAGAATATCTAAAAATCCATTCTTGTTTATTAACATTCTTATCTTCAATTATAAAACTATGCTTTTTTTGTAATTTAATCTAATTACCGTACTTTAATATTATAGATATCTTAAGTGACCAATTATGTACAGTGGGTTTTAATTTGTGAAATTCCAAATTTGTACATATTTACCCAGTTTAGATCAAGTCTTTAAAAGGTAGTTAGGCTAGTAACACGTTGTAACAGAGACTTTAAAAAAAGACGAAGAGAAAAATTTACTTTAGTTAGCATTAAAGCAAAATTTATGGTGAACGGAGCAAACACAGTGATATTCCATGGATCTTTATTTTGTGTCAAGTGCTGTATTTTTCGATCATGTGAGCGTTCAGGTAGATCCTTAACTCTTTTTCTCTCACAAACTGAAAAGCAATTCACTCCCTCAAGGAATGTAGTTGAAAACAACCTTTGGGCCAAAAGGCCCTGAAATAAGGCCTCGTCAGCAAACACGCATCCCCAAGTATTCAGAGTCTGAGCCACTACTTCTTGACGTAAAAAAAAAAAACTAAACTCCTATACGAAGCATTGTTGATTCCATTAAAACTACCGTTTTACTATTGTAACTATGATTAAAGAACGCCTTTGAGGCTCAGAATGTTCCTGAGTTGGGCCAGTCCTTGAAGTTCATCTTCTCTATCCTCATCTTCATCGCCGCTTTCTTCATCCCCGCTATCCCCGCTGTCTCCACTGTCTCCGCTGTCTCCGCTGTCTCCGCTGTCTCCGCTGACCCCACTGTCTTCTTCCTCTCCGCTCGCTCCACTATCCTCAGCTCCGCTATCCTCAGCTCCGCTATCTTCAGCTCCGCTATCCTCATTCCCACTACCTTCGGCTTCATTGTCTTCAGCTCCGCTCTCACCGCTGGACTCGTCTCCACTTTCCTCATCCTGCTCTACATTTTCTCCCGACCCGCTTTGGTCACCACTATCATCATTACTCTCACTGTCCCCACTACCACTTTGATACTCTTCGACTTCCTCAATGCCTCCACTCCCAGAGACCTCTGCTTCAGCCTCTTTACTTGGGATACTCGGCAAACTGCTGCGTTGGCTGGCATCCACGTCGATACTGCCTTTGACGTTATTTTCATCAGCTTCAAGATATTCTTCTTCGACATCTTGCACTACGTTAGGGTGGAATCTTTCAATTTGCGGCATCACCGACTTTGGTTTAGGTGCTGCAGGATTTTTTGTTGTAAAAACAATGATAAGATAGGTATTTTGATAAATAAATGTATGTCTCTATTTTGTGCCAACGTAATTAGTTTCCTCTTGAAAGAAAAAAGAGACAAGATAGCAGGTAGCAAGTTATACTCTCAGTTGCATGGTTTTCTGTATTTAAACTCATTTAACCCCAAAGAGCAGATTTGAATGGAATATCGAAAGAGATGCGAAACTGCTTAGGTTTCGTTTCACCTCGCTCTGTGATTGGTTTAGTGTACTCGCACTACTTCCCTAACCAAATGGACATGAAATTAAATCAATTCTGATTGGTCACACATGTCTTCCCGCTTCAAACAGTTTGCCGTTCTTCACCTTGAATACTTATTGATTAATGGAGATGTTAACTTTTGTTCTGATTGGCCCTTTGATCTCACCGTTTCGACAATTAATTCAAAGGATAACAAAAACGGCTTTACTGTAATGTATACATTACCAAAGCTTATTTCTCCTCTCTTGACATAAGCCACTGTGGGGTTGGTGTGGTGTGTCTCTACCGGAGCTGGTTTAGGCTGGCAGTACTGCTTATTAGTACAAAAGACCGTGTAGCACTTATCCGCCATCATCATAGCCACATGGCATTGGTCCTGTTCACAGCATCGCTTTATGCACGAGTTAATGTCTGTGACACCTTTGTGATGCGTCAATTTTCCAGATACCATGCCGGCCTGGAGAATTGTCTTGTTCCTTATCTCGCCATCCAGGCGACACTCTTCTTCTCGGTTTGTTTCGGTTCGTATAACGGGAGTTCCGTCTTTAAAGTAAGAACAGGATAAGTATAATTTTTTTTTTTTTTTTGCTGTGAAACATTCAGGTTATCCTTGGTTTAAGACAACACTGAACTACGGCGACACAGCGCACCTCATTTCGGCCGATGAACTCTTACAATGATGTCAGAACCAAACATATCTTAAAAATATTGGACTTACAGAAACAACGTCATTCTGAATTCTGACTCATAAATCAAAAATTTAATTTTACATGGACTGCGCTGGGTTTAAATTTTGGAAGTGGATTGAAATAGAAAGTTCTGAACTACGCCGAGGAGTCAATCCACTCTTTCCAAACATCATGAACTGCATGTTCTTTAATCATTTTTTTTTCAGCTGGAAATCTTGAATACATGAAACAGTTTTAACACCCAATAACGCCAAAGTGTTTCATTAGTAGCATGGGTTATGTTGTAGAATCGTCCTAGCTGCCGGCCAACGGTAGAAAGCAAGGAAGAGCTGAGACAACTTCAATAGAGTAAGAATACTTGCCGTAGAGATACCAGTTTGGTTTTTAGCCAGGAACTGTTTTGCGAAGCTTCACGTTTAAAGCGGGAGATTTTGGCGATAACTGACGTTTTTAACAAATGATTTCAGCCCACTTCCTTTCCTCATGGTAATATGCAATCTTAAGTTGTTTATAAGCCCTTACCGTCTCTTAATTTTACACCAAACTTTCGTGTAACGATGTATTGCGTGGATTTGTCCAAATTAGTATCATTGCGCCAAGCGTCTTCGTCGGGAATCGTGCGACAGCTTCTCTCGCTGTAGCACTTTACAAGGAAACATGTACGACCAAACATATAGGCCAAGTCACAGGAAGGATCCTCGCAGCACAAGCGGGTGCATATTTGGGGGTTTGCAACGCGCCCCACGTCAGTGAAGAGCCCCGCGTTTGGGCCATCGAGGAGTCGGGACTTCGTGTAGCGTCTGCTTTGAACGCATTGTAAGTGATGTGGAGACTGGCCAGATGGAATTTTCACTGAGTAAACCAGATAAGGAGGAAGAAGTCATAAAAAGCTGCATTTTATCAGATTTTAAAAAAAAATATATGCTGACTGCTTTTTTTACTCCTTTCACTTACCAACTTTCTTGCCTTTTTGATACAACCATGGCGCTACGAAAGCCATTTTCTGCTTGAATGAATGATCTATAGCGGCAGCAGGAATTGCCTGACATCTCTCCTCTGAGTAGCATTTCACCAAATAACAGCGGTCACTTAACATAAAGGCCAGGTCGCATGGCTGCACCTTAGACTCGCAGCAATATCTTCGAGCAAATAAGACTAAAATTAATTCATGACTACAGTCTTTTCCTTAAACGCAATTTTCATTCAGAGCGGTACCGATGTTCAACTTCGAGTATAGGGTAATGGCTTTAATAATATGCATAAAAAATACCACGCGTCGGAGTGGCTGAAAACGAGTGCAATTTTTATGTAACACGAGTGCAAATAACAAATAGTGCGCTATCAATTTTTTTTTCCGTCTTGACCTTCCCTGATGCGTTTTTCATGTAAACTTTTAATAAGTAACAACATGATATCTTGTGCAATTTGGTGCAAATAAGCACTAGTGAGTTTTTTCGAAGACTACAAATTGTCATCGCTCTACGGGCTCATGCAATTGTTTTGTCTTTGAAAATTTTTCTCGTGCTTATTGACACCAAATCAAGTTGCACTCAAAATAGTATCTAGTTTTAATTGAATTTACCTGATACAAGTCTTTATACTCTTAACTTTTCCAATGTCTGTGAATTTTCCAGCTTTCAATCCACCCATTAGCTTTACGTTGTACATGATCTCGTTGTGCGGACATTTCGCTTCAGGGTCATAACTCTTAAGATTGTCGCTTACCGGTGCTTCGGCTACAGAAGATAAGAAAACTGAGAAAAGGACTCGCTGCTATTAGAAAGAGAAGATCAAGACCTGAAATCAATAATGTAGTCTCTTTGGTCTATGGAGGTTTCGCCCCATAGCAAGTCCACTTCGATCCTACCCGTTCCCTCGCACCATGACGAGTTCGCCCCATTAGAAATAAGTTCGCCACCGCCTTCACTAGTTCGCACCGAGAAATTCAAAACGATTTCAAACTACTCATAATAAAGTTATGACCCATTTTTCTAAAGGGAGTTTCATTGGCCCAGTGGTAGAACATTCGGAATCCAAGTGCCTTGGATCCGATTCCTCATGAGAACTAAAAACTTTTTCTTTAGCCCATGCTCGTGATATAGCGAAAAAAACCTTCTTTCTGTAGTTTATTTCCATGCTCAAAAATGAGCATTTTCTAAAAACTTACTCAGTTGTCTTGTTCCTTTAGTAGTCATGTGTGCAACTTGCATGTCAATATCTTCATCATCCGCTGGAATCGTCTCACAAGTTGTGTCATTCACACAATGCACATTGAAACATTTTGATCCGTGCATCATGGCCACGTCACATTTCTTTGTATTGCAGCACAAATGCATACATTCCTGCATATTCTTTACCGGTCCACGGTCCTTGAAAATCCCGGCAAACTGACCGCCTCTAAGAGTAACATTGTACTCAATGTCTTCTTGTCCACAGTTGTATTCTTCAAGTATCGTGTGTCCTAATGCGGCTAAAAATGTTTGAACATTTTTTTTTGGTAATTGCAGAAGAGAGTCTTGTCAAAAGTTGTGAGGAAAGGAGGGAGTAAGGATACTGAAGCCTAATGGCTTTCCTCGAGCACATGGATCGAGGATTTTTGGGTTGTTGCCGGATCACTATTTTCTCTTCTCAGGTAAGACACTTCAGTCTCACACTGCTTCTCTCCAACCCGTTCCCTATTGTTCAAAGGTGTATAACGCTACCCAGTGGATAAATCTCTATCCAGTGAATAGCGCGTTATCTTTTGTCAACACGTACTATATTCTCAGGATAGCGATCTCTTCGTTTGATAATGTTATCCGCATTTTGAAAACTGGTCCCATTTGTATACATGACTACCATTTATTTTTATGTGTCTAAGGAATTCTCCTGCTCAATTGATTTATCTAAAAGCGCACTACAACGATAAAAACATCGTTTCAAACTTTCAATTTGCCGTGAACAAATGCGATCATAACATAATGACAGAGATTTCAATCTCTTTGGTAAAATGAAAACTTCTGAAGCCACAAAGACTCGCTTTGCAAACTTTTATCTGGTTAATTTTTTGACTAAAACGAGCCGACGGAGTCATGATCTCGCAGTTAACTTTCACACAATACTGTTCTCACAGTCAAGCTTCGCTGAGCAAGTGACAATCTGGTGAAACTGGTGGTAAGATTAAAAACCGTGTATTGTGAAGCCTTTCAGTGGATTTTTAACATTGTTCGCAAAAAGACCTATTATTATTTGAGCCATGATAAAGTGCTCGATAGCGTCTTCTAAGACGCACTTCGTTTATTTTGTAAACGATGAATTCATGATTCCTAAGAAGCGACTCAATCAAAAGATAAATTTTTGCTTACCTGTTGCAAGAGTTACCAAGATGGCTGAGATTATTAACAATATATCTTTTCTAGTTTTTCGACCACAGAAAAGATTTAACATGACTACCGAATTATATAAAAAACGCGGAGTAAAAACTCTTTGAAATCTGATCGCATACGGACCAAGAAAGACCAAATAGCGAAGAATTGTTTTGGCAAAAACAGCCACTGACAGCCAGAGCGAATGTTGACTGATGACCTAACAGGTAAAGTATGCAACCTGTCAATTTTAATCCAGCGAGCCAATCAGATGGCGGGCTTTGTCGGTCACGATCATAACCTCACTTTTAATACAACACAGAGTCGGTGGAATACTTAACTCCTGCCAGTATCTTTGTTCCGTTTTATTAATAGCTTTGTTTTTTTTTATTTTTTACGAAAATCCATGTTACTGCTGGTAACAGCTCTTTTCAGTCACATGGCGGCAGGTACTGGATAATTAGAAGACTGGTATGTAAAGAAACACTATAAGACAGGACAATATTTACGATATAACTATAATCTATGATATATACCCGGTATTTCGCCATGTGCTATTTAGCTTTAGTTACCTGGTGATATTTTTCTTTTTTTTTCTTGTTACACAAACATATTAAAGCGTATGTTTTTTTTAGTTTCCTTTTTGTTTGTTTTTTTACAAAATACCAGCTCACAACATTAACTGGCAATTGCTCAATCTGCAAACCAGGAAAGCTAGTTGTAACAAATAAGTATTGTACAGAAAAACTCGGAAGATTTCCAATTTCAGTTTACCTCTGTGCCGTTTTATTAAGAATTATGTTAGCTTAAGGAAAAAAAATAAGCATAATGATTTGTTAATAATTTTTTTTTTATTTTTAAGCTAATGCGACTCGTATTAGGGCTAACGCTGAGTAGAAAATTGTAATACGCGAGTCTAAGTCAAAGCTGCATGAGGAACGATCTCAAAGGGTTGAAACAGCCGAAAAAATTAGCCGTCAGGCAAATTTTACCGTTAGTTGTACAAAAAAGAGCTAACGGTAAATTGGCCAAAAACCATTGACCGTAAAACCCCTTTGAGACCCTCCAGCATGATGAAAGGGATCAGAACAAGCGATTGAGAGTAACTGGGAGGGGAGGGAATGGTATTATTGCTCCCTTTCTCGTGTCTCCAGACACGAGCCCGGCTCAGCGCATGATTCTCGTGTTTGAGAAAACATTTTTGGCGCTGATAGACTACAAGGAGTCCTTTCCCTTTCGGCGAAGTCCGTCGCAAGTGTAAACTAACAAAAAAAAAAGAAAGAAAATGAAAAAGAGCAGACGTTAGCGCGCCACGCGAAGCCCTGCGCGTGAGGAAAAGAAGAGACCACTCATAGTTTATGGAGCTAACACCACAGATTTGTAAGCCCTGAGCGGGTAGAAGATGACTCAAACCCAAGCCTTGGTGCTTTTCCTTTTTTCTTTCTTTCTTTTTTTCTTTTTTCATTTTTTTTTTTTTGTATTTTTTTTTCCGAAACATTTCAAATCTTGTGCATTCCTGCATCTTCGAATACTTTGGAATCACGCTTTCATTGTGGTTTAAGTCACTAAAGGAGATGATGATTTCTGCGGTAAATGTCGGCATTGGATTCCTCTTCAGCTTATAACTAACTTGAGTTAACACTATTTGAAATGATTTTATTTCTTTAGCTCGCTTACGTCGATAAAATTTTACTGCACACTTGTAGTTTTATTTAACAAATAGAGAAGCCTTGTCTGTGCTCTGTTCTGTTGTAAAGTACGCAGGAAGCGGCTAGAGCACGAAAGAAGTGTAGGGAGAAACACGAGACGTAGTCGTAGTTGAGTGTTCTAGTCGCTTCCTAAGTGCTTAACAACAGAACAGAGCACATTCAGGGCTTCTCTATTTGTTTTATAATAAATAATCCATAAATTCCTTCAATTTTCAAAACAAACTTTATTTCCGAAGCGAACAAAAGTGTCGTCAGCATGCTCTATACTCTCATAAAGCACGCTACAATAAGCCAATCAGAATCCTTGTTAGAATGGTCCAAATAATCTGATTGGCTGTACAAGTCTACAGGTGTCAAAAATACCAAACCATCAAAGTTCAAAAACCATCAAAGTTCACATTCTGCAATAGTTTACAAACTAAGATAGCTCGGCAGGTCGAAGTTAACATTTTGCCTGAAGTTTTTAAGTCTCTTCTACAGAACCTTAAAGTGAAATGTTCAGTGAACTTCAGGCGAATTATGGCTCATAAAAACACGCGAATTTTTTCACATGACAAGGTAGAAAACAAACTGTTCAAGGCGACTGTTTTTTGAATGAGCGACAGCCGAATTCACCGGAACATGGAAATCGCTCGGGATGACACCGCCGCAAAACTCGGCTGCAGTGATTGATGTGACTTTCCACTCAACGCATCGGAAAGGATATCAGAGCAAGCTCTTATTTTTTCACTCGAAGGGCGGCCGATGTAGTTTCTGAGGCTTGCTTTACTGCGATGACCGGAGATCGCCATGATAAGCGAGCCGCGATGGACCTCAGCGTGATCATATTCGCTCTGACACCGTTATGATTAGTATGAATTTTAAAAGTTATGCAGGTTTGGTTATATTTTGGTCATCATTTCTGTTTTGTTCTGTTTTGTTTTTGAACACTGAACTTTGTATACTATACGAGTGTTAGCTGTGTTTGATTTTTATTTCCGTACGTAAGCTTGCAATCTAACTGAGCGTGTAGATCTATTGTCTATTTTGTTTTTCCTTTGAGGATTTTCGTATCTGCGCACATTTTAATAACGTAAATTACGGCGCCTGGTATGTTTACAAACCTTTGTTTGGTTCTTCTGTTGCTACTTGCCGGCTCGCTTGTTCCGAAATTTCACTTTCAATCGAAAACAAGCTAAAAAGAAGTACCGGAAAAGGTCGAACATAGTACAATTTGGCAGATGGCGTGACAGCTTTAGCTCAGCTCTATGCTCTATACTCTCATAGAGCACGCTCTTTCAACCAATGACAGCGCGCGTGATATCCGAACTTTATTATAATTCCTGATTAGACCAGCCAATCACAAACGATGTTAATCTAATACATAATTGAGCCAAAACATATCCTTTGTTCCCAATAGTATTTGGTGATTTGTAATCCCGTTTGCTAATCAGTTAAGTTTCATTGGTCAAAGAGGGCAAATTCGTCTTTCCCCATCGAGTTGTACACTTTAAAAGGACATTTATAGTGGATAAAAATGAGAAATATTCAGAAACGTGAGTTTTATGGATCGAAGGCAACATTCAAAATTCGGAAAAAGCTTTACATTATTGGGTCTCTATTTTGCTTCTTTTCAACAAAAAAATATCAAGGAACTTTAAAAAAAATTGCTGGTAAAGAATAAATAAGTCAATGAAAGATTCAATGTCAAACCCGTGAGTGGGGAGAAATACATGAAAAACTGCCTTCGACTTTAAAATTAATTTTTTTGAGATGCCTATTTAGTAGGAGGGAGGGTGGGGAGCGGGGCTGGAAGAATCTTCTCTTTAGTTGATAATGGATCCACGTGTTCAAACCATCGGAGTAAACGTGCATAGCGCCGAGTGGGATTTTACGCGCGGTAAATTATTAACGAATTAGAACGGTGTAATGCCAGCAACTTCACAGCTCCTAGTTTGAGCCAAGGTTAATAAAGTGATCTTTTTTTTTTAAACTAAAGAGATTAAAACAAAAAAGGCAAGCATTGATAATGTGTATAAGAAATGTAATTACACGATGATACAAAAAAGCTTCATACAGGAGCAAAAATATATGACAAATATAGTGTTCTTTACAACATTTGAGAGCTTCATGAATTTATGATATACAATAAAACAAGTATATAATTTGGTACCGCAACAAATGCTCATCTCTGTTTTTATACAGTTTATTAAAAAAAAAAACTTGACTCTCGCTATAAAAATAAATATAAAAGTTCTGATTCTATAAAAAATAGAGCATCTTTTGGGATTAAACACATCCACTACTCTTGAATTTCACTCCGTTTTTTCAAGAGGAAACAGGTATTTGTTGCGTTCTTCGATGTATGAGAAGTTCCCTTTTATTCCAACCAAGAAAACAAAGACTTCTTTTCTCCCTAAAAAGAAGCAGAAATTAATTCAGTAAGGTGATCACACACGAACGAACTATATAAGTAACCAATTGGCAACAAAGAAACAACAACGACAATAACGATGACGAAGTCAACAACAACAACAACAACGACAACAACCAGAGTAAATCGTGAAAAAGACCTTAAAAATACAAGATTTTGCCACTGTGATTCATCAAATACTTTTTTTCGGAAATACTTTTGAATGATATAAGTGCACATGAAGAGATGGCGACAAAAAGGAATACTTAGAGGGGTTGTAGGGTTTTAAACAGAACATTTTATCTGACGTCCTTTTCGAGTGACAAGACCGGAAAATTGAAGAAATATAGAGGGCTTTTCGACTGAGCTCTCAAAAGCAAACTCGGAGAAACAGTGTGCACGTGTCTCTTAAAGAAACGAGAACCCAGTCTAAGTATAACTTAGTGGCCTAAAGCGTGAGAAAGCGTGAGAGAGCGTGAGAGAGCACGAGAGAGAGTGAGAGAGTGTGAGAAAGCGTGAGTAACCAGGTTGCGATTTTTTCAGTTTTAAATCTTATACGTCAAGGGTGTGGTGTAATGTGTTTAGGTTAATTACAGACCTAGCGAAGAAACACCAATGTAATCCTCGACTACCACCACCACTCAAATAAAAACTTCTTCAACAGCGAAAAGATTAAGTTTACGCTCACCTCCGCCGTTTCAAGGCCTCTGAGCCTTGCTCGCCTTCTGTAGCGTATAATACACATCACTGTACCAATCACGATGAACACGCTAACGCCTGCGACTGCCACGAACGCGCCCATACCAGCTGAGAGCGTGGTTGGTTTGGAAGTGTCCAACAGAACATGTTTATCTAAAAGAAAATATGATGATTTCAAGTAAGCAACAAGAACAGACTAGGTTTCTTTTCTTTTAGGAGAATGTTAAGTATTCTTCTGGTAGATTACGACACAAAATTAAGTGAAAGTTAATTTACAAATTTAAGGAGATATCGTTTCATGTAAGTAGACCACAACTTAGACATTATAAGGCCTACAATTTTTTTTGCAGAAACTGTCAATTTTCATCAGTTTGATCCAATTTGATACAAAATCACCACATTGAAGTTTACAATAAACCACAAGGAACCATTAAATTGACTAATTTATTTGTCATGGTTGGTATTCGACTGAAAACAAGCAGATAGAGGAGAATTTATTTGGGGAGTTTAGTTTGTGTATTGACTTGATCCCTCTTCAAAAGCCATTGTATCAATTAACTCATAAATCTTATCAGGGAATCACAAAAGTCACGCAAATGAGCCCAAGGTTAAAAAAAAAGGCTTCTAGTTTTGGAACTAAACCTACCAACACATGTTTTGTTGTCCTTTTCCAGCAAGTAGCCTTTCAAACAGAAACAGTTATAACTACCAAGAGTGTTGTTACACAGCTGAGAACAGCCATGAGCGGGCTCTGTGCATTCATCAATATCTGCAGAAAAAAAGAAAAAAAATCCATTTAAAATTAGAACAGCACTAAAAATAGAAATTGCCATGGAAACCAAGTTAAGCTAAGGCCGGAAGAGCCAAGTGGGTCTATACCAAACTTGACCTTGTTTTTTATAGACAGAGAATAACTAGAATAAATATCAAGTTATTACAGAAACGGTTGTAATACCAAAGCAAGTTCTGAGGTCCGCCATCAGTCTGTATCCTGACCTGCAGTGACAGGTGAAACTACCCTGGGTATTCTGACAAATTTCATCACAAAAATGGCTTCCAACATTGCACTCGTCAACATCTGAAGGAAAAAGAAGACATTGGAAAAAGACGCATGAATGATCGTTAAACAAAGTAGAATACTCGCTTAAACTATTTTAAATAAAAATGAAAAATGATTATTTGAAGGAGAGTAAGAATGATAAAATATGTCAGCCTTTTAAAGGATGGGTGGAGAAATGGGAAATATATATTTTTGTGACTTCATTGACATAAGAAATATCAACTATCTCATTAACTGAGTCTATATTTATCTTAATACCATATTCAGTTTGCTATATATCTAATGAGCAAAAGCTAAAAAATCGATCTCTTAATCTTAAAGTCACACTATGTATACGGAATATTTTGGGGTTTATTTATTTTTTATATTCTTTTTGTTATACGTCTGTGGTATAACGTTACAATACCTTCACAGCTTTTTCTGTCCCTTTGCAACATAAATCCGGAATGACATTCGCATCTAAAGCTGCCTTGAGTATTAACACAAGATTGCTGACAGTCATGACTGCGGGCTTTGCATTCGTCAAAGTCTTAAAGAAAGACATGGAAAATTACAAATGCTGAACTGACAGTACTATACAATGTCCTATTTAGTTTAAAAAACTTGTTTCTCCTGCTAAAGGAGAGTTATTTTTTTTGTACCAAAAATCTTCATCATGACTTCAAAAGGACGAAAAAAAAGCCTGAAGGGCCCGGCCATCTATAAATTAAATGCGTAGAGCCTTCATCACCAGGCCCGGCCAAAGCGCACAATGCAAAGTAACAGTACAATTCACCAAAAAGAGAAAAACAAAAACAATAAAGTAAACAACCGAACAAGTGAAAAGGGCTGAGCACGATACAACCGGATTATCATATCCGGCAGCTTCGGGGAAAAATATACGATATTTACTCTTACCTTTCACAGTAAGACTAGCTGCTGCCGTAGCACTCCCAGCGGGGTTGGAAGCCACACATCGGTACATCCCTTGATCAGTGAAATTGACTTGACTAATCACCAAGGAGCCGGTGGGTAGAATTTTGAACCTATCTTCAGCAGGGATGGGTTGGTCACCATTAAACCCTGACGCCCAAGCGATATGTGGCGCTGGGTGGCCACGCGCCTTGCAGTGAAAGATCCCGGATTCAAACTGGGTTATTCTGAGATCCTTAGGTGATTGTGTTATTGCTGTTGGGACTAAGGGGTTAAAAAGTAGAAACAAAATAATTTTTAATATTGGCCATAAAAAAGAGGGATCTGGATATAAAACTTGATTAAAGGAAAATTTATCATTTACTTTCTAGTCCGGAGAAAGCTGCATAATCTTGATCTTTCTTGGATCCCGTTTCTGTGATTTCTGGAAAAAAAAAGATACGTGCAAAATTAGCGCCAATGATTAGATGAGAAATAGTGAAATAATGAATAAGAATTAAAAAAAAAAGGAAAATGAGAAATAAGAAGTGAGAAGTGAAAACTGAGAAGTGGGAAGTAAAAATGAGAAACGAGGACCGAGAACCGAGAACTGAAAACCGAGAACCGAGAACCGAGAACTGAGAAATGAGCGTGAGAACCGCAACGCTCAATAGACATACCTATACAGTGTCGTTTGTCTGCACGGAGTTGAAACCCTTCTTCGCAGGAGCAGCTGTAGCTTCCAGGAGTGTTGTGGCATGATTGCTCACAGCTGTGGACACCCATGGTACATTCATCAAGGTCTGGAATGGGAAATAAAAAGGCGTTAATAAAATGAAGCAAAAACCAGCAAGTTGAGCGGTTTATGTCATGCAAACTTTTGGAAATTTGCTTTGAGACCAGAGAAGAGTTCACACTGAACGATCTCTACGATCTTGATGTCATTTCTGAATCTTTGAGGCACGTTACATGTTAGTCATAGTTATTTACCGTCACAATGTTTCGAGTCTCTGTTCAGCATAAATCCACTGTGGCACTCACACAGGTAACTGCCCTCATAATTTATGCATTCATGCTCACAGCCATGCGTGTTATCGGTACATTCGTCTACGTCTGTGAAAAATGTGAAACATATGGCGTTACTCCTCAACGAATTGCATTCGTTAGATGGATTATCATTGTTACTTCATTTCACTAGGGGCAGTTCATATTAAATAACTATTGATGGCATGTTAGGCTTTAATAAGAGTTCCAAAACAGTTAGGCAGTCGAGTATCGCATTAATGCTCGCTTGACTCCAAATTGGCTGGAACAGGATTCTATTTTCGACATTCTCGTGAATTCTAAATTTTTTTTTTTTTTTTAATTTTCAACGATCACAAGATGTACTTAGGACATATGATTTGCTGATAATGACATGTTTTGTAACTTTTACCTTCGCAATGTCTTCCGTTTTGCGCCAAACTGTAACCATGGCGACAGATGCAACGATGACCTCCATCCGGGAGATGAATACAATGATGCTGGCAGCCGTATCTTTTGGCGGGACACTTCTGCTCACCTACAAAAAGAACAACAAATAGCAATAAATGAACTGTTAAGCTTAGTTTTCCTATTTTTTTTCTCTAGAAATAGAGTAGTTGTGAAATCGTTGTTGTCCTACCTTGATGATGATGATGACGATGATGTTGATTGTGTTTATGTAATTTCTGTTTCAGGACATGATACGGTTTCGAGGCATCCTGTTTGTCGTCTTCTTTGTGGTGACTACCATTTTCATCAACATTCTTAACAACCGTACTTTGTAACCTTGCCGTGGCCGGCTCAGTCGGCCTTGGAGTGACTGTCGAAAGAAATTAAATAGTAGGCTATAATGTTTCCTGTCGCCTGCTCTCTTGAAGTACGCATTACAAGTCTTTTGACTATTTTTACATCTCGCTCTGATTGAACATCAAAATATTGATAAAGAAAAACTATCAACACATTTTTGAGGATTTGAATTGTTTATCTTACCTTGCAAAACATTGTTGTCTTTCAGCCTATTGACGTAGCCCAAGACAGTCTTGACCGCGAGAGGACTGGCCTCGATAAGTTTGCACGTGTCTTGACTGTTGCATTTCACCGTGTAACATCGCTGATCCTCCATGTAGGCCAAGTCACATGATCTTTCCTCGCAGCAGATCCCTATGCACTGACTGATATCCATTACCTGGCCTCTCTCGGTGAATTGACCCGCGCTCCGACCTCCCTTCAGCTGTACGTTGTAAAACGTTCTGTCTTTCTGGCAGATCATGTTGTTCTGAGGAGCTCGAACTGCACCGGCGGTAGGACTTGGTTTACCTTCAGGTGAGGCAATGCTGGCGTTCCCAAGCTGCATCACGCTCGCTTCGTTGGCGCTGCTAAACATCGCTAGGCCATTCCTTTTGATGTAAGCGATCACTGAGTGGACCGCCGTGTCCTCGATAGGTCTCGTTCGACAGAGATCACGGCTGAAGCAATTTACGGTGTAGCATACCGCTTGTATGACATAAGCCAAATGACATTTTGTAGTCAAACAACATTTCTCGATACAAAGCTGTATATCACTCACGCGGGGAAACTGAGAAACTTCGCCAGCACCCATGCCACCATTTAAGATTACATCGTTGATCATCAGTCCCTGAGAGCACTCGGATAAAGGCTTGGAATAAGTCTCATGATTGTTTTCCATGCGAGGAAAGCCGAGCATGTTGTTCAGCGGTGACATAGTTGTAGCAGACTGCGTGGGTTTCACATCTCCGAGAAGGTCTTCTAAAGATGGTTCTGTTGTCTTGAAAGTTTGTGTTGGTGTAGTCCGAGCTAGAGAAGGAAAAGAAACAAATTCATTTGTTGCAAGTGGCTCTTTGACATTTACGGATAAGTCAACCATAATAAAAGTTAGACACTTTTGTTATCTTTCTTACTCCTTGCGCAATCCGATAAAATATATTATTTTCGCCTCAGAGTGCATCTCACTCCAAGTGAAAAGCTTAATTACAACACATCCGAGCGAGACTTACCGTTGGTTTCTCCTCTATATATATACATTATGTGAAGAGAAAAGTTCTTTAGACGTGACGGCCTGGTACTACAGAGTTCTGAACTGGAACACTGCAGTCCAAAGCACGTGGACCTCATGAGGATCGCAGCATCACATGACCTCCGGGCACAGCATTTCCGAGCGCATTCGTCCATGTCCGTATTCTCAGCTAGCCGTGTAAAAACCCCAGCACGGAGCCCGCCCACTAAAGTCACGTGGTGGTAAAGTCTGCCATAGTTACAGCTCGATAGTGGAGGCTCAGGTGTCGTATTTAGAGTGGGCTTCTTAGTTGAAAGCATGCCAATCAAGTTGAAGGCAGGTTCTTTATCACCTTGTGGGGCGTCCAATGACTTTGCATTTGGTTCTACTGGTGTATCGTCAGCTGGAGAAGCTAGATTCTCATTTTCCTTCTTCGTAGAAGGACGAGAAGTTGATTCTGGAGGAAGACATTCAAGGTATAAAGTAAGGAAAAATTGCCGATGGCCATAGTTTATACCCAACTTTCATATTACGGTAAAAACAGACTTAATAATAGCGGCCTGGCGAGCACTTGGATGCTTTGCTCTTTGTAAACTGATCAAAAGAAAAAAAAGATATTCATCGAAAAAATTTATTTACTTCTACGGACACGACAAATGGCTCGTGGTAACTCACCTTTTGGCCCGCTTCGATTCACAAATCCAATGACAGGACTATTTTCCGACAGGCTCTTGATAAACGTTTTACATTGCTCCTTTTCCGTACAAGTTATGGCAAAGCAGTTGTTTTCCACCACGTAAGCTACAGAGCAATCTCGTATTCCACAGCAAATTTTCATACACTCCTCAATGGTATCAACCTTTCCTTTGTCGGTGAAATTTCCTGCGCCTAATCCACCGACAAGATCTCTATTTCTATAAACATCTCCCAATCTGCACAACGTTTTGAGTCTTTCTGGTGGAGTGCCGCCTATTGTATGAGGTGACGCAGTCATTTTAAGCATCGTTGTTGATTTCAACGTGGTTGGCGGCGTCGTTGATAATGTGGTTGTTTCTGTAGTTGTATCTGTCGTTTGCGGTGACGTCACTGTTGGCATCTTCAATGTTTCTTCCGATCCCGATTTTTCTCTCGCAGCGCTGACAACAACTGTTGTTGTACCAAGTGTTGAAGCACTATTGTTTTTTGCTTGGTCCATGAACTTCATGTTGTTGTTAGAAGTACTCTGGATGGGAAGATTACTTAAGTGGCTTGTTGGTTTTGAAAACCAAACAGAGTCTGTATTAACATCTGAAAAGCTATCATCAGAAGGACTTTCAGTGAAAGTCTCCGTGAGAGCAGAGTTGGATTCCGAATGAAAGAGAGAGTCACTGTTAGAATTCTCCAAGTATCTATCAATTTCCTTCTCCAGAACCGCCCGCCTAAACACATAGATCTCATCAAGGTAGCCGAGTAAAATCCTTCGCCCAGAATGTGAACCAAACCCTGCTTTAGCTTCCCAATCTAGGGAGAGCATACCACTGCCACGACCCTCTCCTACCAAGTCACCATTGATAAAGACTTTGGCCATGTGCGTGCGCGAATCGTAAGTGCCTACAACGTGGTACCACAGATTTGGCTGCAGAACTGGCGAAGTCCTGACATTGAAGACTTCCTTAGCGTATTCATTACGATGGAACCACCTCAATCGCCCATCGTACACCTCAAAGTGGTACTGTCCTTTGCTGTGAATAGAATGTCCACCGATTGTGTCAAAAATGGAATGAACTCCACCGGTTCTCCACAGTTTTAACCATAAGGCAATGGTGACGGCTTCGCGTGGTTTCTCCCGAAAGTGTTCACCATCGAGAAGTACATCGCCGCCGTTCAATTCGATTGCGGCTCCTCGCTCACCAGGTCTTGAAACTTCGGTGCCTGCAGCATAAAACAAAAAACAAAAAAATAAAATAAATAAATATTAAAAAACCCATTCAATCAATAAGGTTATCGATAACTATCCTAATTTACATTATAAACGAATAAAAAGTACTCGATTCTGAAAATTGTGACGACCCTAAATATTGAGAGGTAAAAATCGTCTGTTTCTCCCGAAGATCTGGCAATTACTTTAAAATTGTCTCCATGTTAAATTACCTCTCGTTAATCTTGCGTCATTGTTTAGGCCAGATCCGTCCACCGCCACAGAACCAATCACGTGATCAAAACCAAGGTACAGCGACAGATAACGAAGATGACTACCTGGCAGCTCGTCCATTTTTCCTCCTAAAGGACTGAGAGGTAGTGGGGTAGGGGTCGGTGTGGATTGTGTTTCGTCTTCGACCATATCTGTTTTATGAATTAGTACAACGATGCTATCAGGTTTATGTGGTATAAAATTTACGTGTTTGATTTAATTGTATTTGCGAAGACCGAGAAAAAAATCCCTACAAATCAAACGATTTCTAATATACCACTTGGGCCCATGTGCCACTAAAAATACGAGAAATCTATGAGCAGGTAAAAAAGATCACAAAATACAGTGAATCACCAAAGCTGTTAGGAACTGGCTCAAATCTCACCTTGTCTGCTCACAAACGAAATTTGATATTCTCCTCCTTCCTCTACTGTACAAGTATCACCACCCTTACACCGCACACTGTAACACCTCCCTTGTTTCAGCATCACAAAGTCGCACGCAGGCTCGTCACAACAAACCTGGATGCACTTCTCCATGCTCCGTACCCTAGAAACTTGAAGCAGCATTCCGGCGTTCCAGCCGTCTCGAAGTTTCACGTTGTAGAAGAACATTCCTTGGGCACAGAAACGTTTTGTGTTTGACGGAGCAAATGTTGGACGCGTGGAGATTTCTTTGTATGGAAGGAACATATCATTTGCTGTTGTTCTGTAGGGTGTCGGTGGAAAGGTTGGCAGTTGGATAGTTGGGGGAGTTGTTGGTCGGTGCTCTAACTTTCTTAACTCTGTGAAGTAATCAAGAAGTAAAGGCAAACGTTTCGTTAAAAGAGAAGATGTAAACAACCAGAAACCAACACTTCTCCCACTAAGGAAGTACTCAACTGATGTTCGCTAAATAATACAAATAAACAAGAAAAACGCCAAGAAGCAAAACAGTTTACTACTAAAATCATTGCATCAAAACTTATCACTAATTGCGAAAGAGTACGATCCAAATGGTTAGTTAACACTATCGTGCATTAAGGCAATTATTGGTCTAATTTCTTACTTCATTTAATGTAATGATACCACAAACTGTAATGTGGTTACATTATCTTGAAAATTTATCAACGACATAAATATCTTCTCATGAAACGCAACAGTCCTTCCTGCTCTTTTATTAAGCCTACGCTTCTCAGAGGCATATTTGTAAACGAGGAAAATTTATAAATTCCACGATAATGTACTCACTTTCATCTAGAACTGACTTCCCACTCCTGGTGACATAGTGGACGCTGGGCATGTCACTCCTGTAAGAGTCCGCTGGCACAGGCTCGCACAATTTGTTATTGTAACAGTCCACGGCATAACAGCTGTCGCGCGTCATGAAAACCAGGTCACATGACTCAATTTCACAACAGAATTTCAAACAACTTGTTGAGCCTTTCACTCGCCCCAGGTCTATGAATAAGCCCGCATCCATGCCACCTCGTAACTCGCTGCTATCATAAAACATCCCTTGCTGGCAGTTAGGCTCGTCATGTAAGGTGATTGTGGACGGAATAGTACCCGAGCCAGTCTTTTTAGAAAGGGAAGCGCTAGACGGCACCTGAAGAGTTGGCTTATATGGTGTCGTCCTGGCATTTGCTGCGGGTTTAGTTGTAGGCGCGGTTGTTGTTGATGTTGTTGTGGGCGGCCTTGTGGTAGGCGAAGTGGGCCGCGTTGTTGGTCTTGTTGTAGGCGATGTGCTGGCAGTGGTATGAGTTGTTATGGCAGCTTTCGGCTTTTTTGTCGTTGAAGCGTTTGGATGCAGCTGTAATATTGCATCTTGAATCATGTCGTCAGGTATGAGACCATCGTAGCTTCCTTCCTTAAGAGGAATAGCCCCACCTGAACGAAGGTCACACAGTGCAATTAGCCAAACTTTAACAACCTAATAACCTTCAACAGGTATGCAAAGTCGTATATAAAGATTGATTCATTTTTATTGTTTTGCATATAGTTTCGTACTCATAATATTTTTCCCATCGCTTTATCATACCATAAGATAAAAATCCCTAAAAGCCTTCATTCAAGATTACGATTGATGATTTCCTGAGCAAACGGTACATGTAGTAGAGTGGAGTATAAAGCAATCTTAGGTCTGTTGTCATTGGCAGCAAAAAACAATCATGTTACCACGAGAACTGGAACTGTGGACTCGAAAGGTCTAATTACCTTAATCACTGTTTAGGATTTTTGACGCATCATGTTCAACGAGCTTGCCAAGAACATAATGCTTGGTTTTTCTTTGGGCATTTAGTAAGAAAACAGAAAACAAAGTTGCACAATAAGTATGTTTAATACCTGCTCCAGGATTGCATTCCTCCGACAGATCACTTAAATCGGACACGGCAAGCGCATGATTGTACATATAAAATTCGTCGATAAGTCCTCTTATCCCTTCGGGAATTCCGATCCCGACGTCGCCGTCCCAATTTTGCGATAGCAATCCATGGCCTTCTTTTTCGTCCAGAACGGCTCCGTTCAAAATAATCTTGCTCATGTTGATGTGTGCGTCATAAGTAACACTGAGATGTACCCAATCTAGCGAGTCTACCGTCTGCCTTGTTGCCATGCTAAATATTATGTGCCCTAAGTCATCTACGTGAGACCAATGAATATTGCCTTCGCGGTACTGTAGGTTGTACTTAGCTCCCGACCCCGTCGTCCTGAACAAAGTGGCTGTTCCCGAGACTGAGTCTAGTTTAAGCCACAAAGTGATTGTTATCGCCTCACGTGGACGACTGTTGAAATGGGTGAAAACTAAGCGTCCACCGCGCATGCTCAGGGCAGAGCCACATTTGGACTCGGTCACGGAGAGGCGCACCTCTGGACTAAGAATGGCATTGTTCTTATGCTCTGAGCTGTCAAGGGCTGTGCGATTTTCGATTTCCTCGAAGCCTATATGAAGCACTAAGTAGGCTGCGTTACCTGAATAACAAAAAATAACAAAAAAATGCATTTTGTTTAATTATGCAGGTAACACTACTGATTTTGAACTCGTCTGTGGGAAATACGCAGCAAAAGCTAATTTAAATATGGCTTGTTGGTGTTTAAAATACACTTGAAGCAAGGAAGGGAGCAATTAACAAACCCAAAGAATTAAGCCCCCGTTACAGCCGCTTTCACTTGCTTTTCGGCATCCCTGCCTTCTGGTTTAAGTGAACAACCGTTTCGTTTATTTCCTAAAAAATTTATTTCTGAGAATTTGAGGCAAAATCAAACAATATCCCTTAAATTATATTTTGTTTTTTTTTCACCTCCTTAACCCTCCGGTTGAAAATGAGTCGATAAATACAGAGAAATTCCTTTTAAGTCACCCCTAGGCGTAATAGAGTTAAATACAGAAAACAATGGTGTCTTTTTTTCGTTAGCTTACAACCGTTTCTCCTATCGTGATGATAAAAAAAAGGGAAGCTAAAAAAACAGAAAACATCGACAACCATATACAATACAATACGATTGCGTTGACTTGAAAGCAAACCTTTCAAAAACTAGTGGCTAAAATAATAAAATGGGTGGGTCAGAGGTTACGATGTAACTTTTCCTAGTCGTTGCACACTGTTGATTAAGCTTTCCCGAACAGCACAACAATGCAAGAGCTCATAAAGATCTCTTACAATGTTATGCTATTCGGTCAAACCGGCTTTGTCAAGGTATGACAGATTAGAGGTGAACAAACTAATTCATCATTTAATTAAATCATCTTTGTTCGAGTGTTGAACGCAGCACGGCTTTTATGAGAAAATCTGTCTGTTTCGTATACGTAAATAAACCATACGTAAATAAACTATACGTAAATAAACTATACGTAAAATCTATAGAGGGTTTCTAAAGTTCTATAAAAAACAAAAAAGAAAAAGGGATAGACGATAAAATAGACGAGATTACAAAATTGGAGTGTAGAAGTCCCCTTGATTATCATGAACGTAACATTTTACAAAAACTGTAGCTTGAAAGGTTTGATGAATGTATTGAAATTAATTTTAATCAATATTTCCTTGATAGAAATAGAGGAATTAATAGATTGAACCCTCTGACTTAATAATGTGAACAAAGATTAACGTCGGACAGACGGATTATAGCGACAAAATGTTGGGATAACAAATAAAAATGAGCCTTAAAACAATTGTCTTCTTTTTTTAAAACCAATGAGTAACCTACAAGAACAGCTTAAGAAGTAACGGACGAAAAAAATTAATTTAACAGAATAAATATTATACCTTCACTTGTGGCAGGGATTGTAACCTTTTTCTTCCCGCTTTGCGACTTGGGCTTCTGTTTATCGTATCGATGTCTGAACTTAAACATTTCACGCATCTCTTGCATTCCTGGTTCCTCAGGTTGCGGCCTTTGATGTGCGAAGCGTGATCTCTGAGGCGGTGACTTTGACGAGGGTTTGACTTCCTCCGGGGAGGAGTCAGGCAACAATTGTTCACTGACCTCGTCACTGCTGATTATTTCAGGGGGGAGGTCTGGGGTAATATCTTTTACCAAAGAAGATTTCGCGTAGGGCTTTTTACTCTGAAAGTCATTAAGAAGAGGCATGTCTGCCATAGTACCGGTGGGAACCGATATTTCTGTCTGCGACCATGGTTTAGGTACGTTGACACGTCTACTTGGCTTGGCCTGCGGCTCGGTAAACTCCTCTGTGACCTGTTTGACGACACTATCCGCCACATTGTCAATTAGTCGTTGTAAGCTATCATCTTTGCTACTTTTTTCCTTTGTGAGAATCGGATGCTTTGCTTCGATTTCTGCAACTATCTTGTCAATGAAAGACTGGTTCACGGTGGGATGTCTCGAAGAGATCTTGTTCGCCAAAATACCGCCATGTCTTCTCAAGTTATCGTGTTGCGTTTTTCGAGGTTCTGTTGGTCTGAGTTTCTTACGATACCAGGGGTTTTCATTCTGAGACCGGACTGGGACTTCACCTGTAGTTTTAGGCCCATAAGCTGAGGTAAAAGATTGAAGAAATAAAGAATAAAAAATTATTTACAATTTCCTTTGTTGCGTCCTGTCCTAAATGAAATGAAGCAAAAGACACATCGATTGGGGCGGAAGTTTAGGAAAAGTAACAAACCGGCTTTTTTGATGTATCGTTATCTAACGAATTCAGGTTATTTAAGACTTTCTGAGTGCAGCTAAGCCTTCCAAGCTTCGTAAATTGATTCTTTCGGACAGTTTTCACAACCTGCTTTTGATATCCACGTTTCTTAAGACGAAATTTCTCAAATTGCAGATCAGACAATACATAACAGGTACCCACCGGTTTCATGAACGTGTGGCTGGGATTGCGGACCTGTCGCACGGCTAGTCAGCGGATTGGAATCCTTACTTGTTACCAGGCTATTCCGAACTGCACTCGTCCCTCGCTGCCGAGGAATATAGGAGCGCTGGTGTTGATGCTTTTCGGCTCTTTCTTTAATCCTTTTTGCTTTTCTCTGTTCTTTCCTCTGGTCACTGTATAGTTTCTTCATATTTCCATAAATTTGCCTCATCTCCTTCAGGAGGGCTTCTTCATGGATGTTCCCACGATGATGTACTTTCCTTTTTTCAGACTGATTTTTTCTTCTATTAGTTTTCCTATTTTGGGTTCTCCCTCTCGGGCTATGAAGGTGATGTGACTTCTTTCTTTTGCGGCTGGTTATTTTGGTCTTTAGTTTAACAGATGTGCGCCTATCCCTCCTCTTATACAACCACTGCACTCGGCTATAGATTGTTTTAATATAGTCCATCAGGCTCTCACCGTGACTCCTTGGTGACGTACCTGAGCCCCCCAAATCATCTGTTACATATTGCTTCACAACTCTGACTTTCTTAGTACGCGTTGCAATCCTCGAGGCTCGAGTTGTTGGCCTTGAAGCTGATACCGGTGGCGTTGGAATATCTTCTTCGAGTCTTCTAACATGGTTATTTTCTACTTCATACCCTCCTCCTTTCTGTTCGTTGAAAGAGGCTAACGTTGCATTACTTTCCTTTTTAGAATGTTCTTCAAGAAGATTCTCTAGGCGTTTATAGATGTTATTTATTTTTTTGTATACCGCGTCAAAGTCAGTTTTCCCATGACTATAGTTCGCTCTTGTCACATGCTGTTTTGCGCTGCCTTCACCATTAACTGCCATCAAATTCTTCTGTGCTTGAGAAAAGTCGTTTTTCACAAAGGCAGGCCTTTCAATGCTATGCTCTGGGTGATATTTTTCAAAGTTCTTGTCTAATCTAGCAAATTCTGACGAAGTCGGCTCAACGTATTTAGTTACGGTGAAGCCAAACTTGTGCTCCTTTCGCAAACTACCTTGCATCGACTTTTCCCGGTCCCAAACGTTGCCATAATCGGGAACAGGCTCATCACCAGTTTGGTGTTGTAGGTGAATTTTATCCCCACTCTTATCTTTGCTCTTTCTGTGATCATTCCACTGAAAACCAGATCTTTGAGTGGGCGCTATTTGCAAGCGGAAGCTTTCCACGTCATCTTTGCTTCTATCCCTCCCACTACTCCACACAGGCTCATCCAAATCCTCTGGATAAGTTTGAACATCAATCTGCATTTTATCCTGACTTGTTTCCTTGTTCTTTCTCTTGTTTTGAAGATGGAATCGTGACTTATGCGTTGGACCTACTTGCTTGTTAAAGCTTCCCATGCGATCTTCTTCTCGTTTCGAACCACTCCACACTCGTGTTTCAGTATTACCTGACTCGTCCTCATTATTAACATATATTTCGTCCTCGTCTATGTTGCCATTCGCTTTCTTGTTTGTGTAATCAAAACGTACTCTATGAGTCGGTGCTACTTGATCGTGAAAGCCTCCTACATGATCTGTGTTTTTATTTCGAGTACTGCCTAGCCAAACATTTCTTCCGGAGTGCTTTGAATTAACATTGCTGTGCTGAAAATGGAATTTCTCCCCAATATCATTCTTGTTTCCTCTTTGTTCATCGAACTGGAACTCCCTCTGATGAGAAGGAGCCACTTGCACTGGGAAGTTTTCCTCTAAGCCACTGTTAGCGTCGCTCGAACTTATCCACCTATGATTTTCAGACGCACTCTCTTCTTCCTGTTTTTCAGCGTGGAATTCTTCATTTTTATCACGATTTTTCTTCCTTTGGTTTCTAAAATGGAAATGCGACTTATGAGTCGGAGTGACTTGATTTATAAAGTTTTCCATATTATCATTGTCTCTGTTCCTCGAACTCCTCCAGGAAAATCTTTCAGAGTCTTTTGGGTTATCGTCCCTATGAATATGGAAATCATTTACTGAACTTTCCTTGTACGCGTGTTGTTGAGGTAAACGAACAAGTTCAGTTGAGATATCTTCTTGCTGGTGGTTCTTGACATCGTTTTCTCCACTGCCCACATTCATCCATTCATGCCTTCTCGATGACTTTGGCTGGTGAAATTCACTTTGCTTTCTTTTATTTCCACGAGGCAGGTTCTTGGGCGTTTGAATCTTCTCTAGGTTATCTCTGTTACTACCCCAAGCACCAAACCACTCGCGGTTTTCTGAGGTTTTTGAGTCATCATAATGTTCAGAATAGAAATCACCTTTGTTCGTTTTCTCTCTCGCATTTTCATTCTTAACGACAAAGTGCGATCCACCACTAGATACCGTTTGATCATGATGATGTTCCCCGGGATCCTTGCGGTCATTGTTAAAATTGTTCCAAATGCCCTCTTGTGGTTCTTTTTCACTGTTATCGTCTTTGTCGTTTTCAGGCTGTCCGTACAGAATCTCAGAGCCTTCTTGGACTTCACCGTGGGTTTTCTTGTTCGGTTTGCTTGTGTGTCTCTCTTTCTTCGTATGATTATAAATGACATGCTCTTCAATATCGTGTTCATTTGTTGGATCCCAGTGGTTTTGCATGGATTTTGAAATGTTCCGCTGTTTCTGAGTGGTTGGAGCCTTTGGCCTTTTCTGTCGAGGTTTCTTTTGAGGCTTTATGGACTGGAATGAATGGATACTATGCTCTTCAATGCGATGCTCGTCTGTAGGCGGATAGACAGGGGGTCTGTCCGTGTCCACAAGTACCACTCTTTTCTGCGCGTTGGAGTCTATTCCGGATCCATACTCACTAGCCCCTTCTTTATCTACACGTCTCCTGGTCTGATGCCAAACCTTTCTTCCTCTCCCTTTCCTTGTTTGTTTGTTTAGTTTCTTTGCTGCCTCCTTACTTCTACCCGAAGCACCAGTCGCTATTTTCTTTTCATTAACCTGCTCGAACTGTTTAGCGATAAGATTGTGAATTTCTCCCTCAAGACGTTTGTTCTCTTCTGTGACGTTGGTTAACTTATTTAGGACAATATCAATCTTTTTAACTGCTTGGCTTCGGTTATGACTTTTCATTCCGAGTTTATGCTCGTTCTTAAGATGTTTTGTAGTGCTCAGACGGCTTAATATGAGAGTAGTGTTTTTGCTAGTGCTGAACTTAGCTTGTACTTTCGCCTTTTCAGCATTATTAATTTTATTGCGAGAAGTGACCACGTTTTCTGGGACTTCCACAAATATCTCATCCACTGTTTCGGTGTTATTGTTTCCTTGGCTGACGTCTTTTTGGTAAGAATTACTGTTTTTCTTATTCAACCGCACCTCCTTATAGTGCACGGCATTCACCGGTTGTTTTCCCACAAACGATCCAGGATCAGTAAGAGAAGAGTTAAACTCTGATGGTTTGATCACTCTTGTGGAATTATTCTTGACAAAATATACAACCTTCGGTTTAAATCTGGACTGCCTTGCAGGAACGATCTCGCAGGCGTAGCCACTGATACAAGACACTGTGAAGCAGTTGTTGAGAAACATGAACGTTAAGTCACAATGCGGTTGGCTACAACAGTAATCCACGCACTGACTTGTAGAGTTGACCTTGCCATGTGGAGTAAAATTGCCAGCTTTGTAGCCCATTCTGAGAGTAACTTCTTCATAAACTTCAGAATGAGCGCATGTCTTATTCCTATTCTTCTTCGATTTTGTTTGCGTCTCATCTTCGATTTCTTTAAGCACGTCGTTGATAGGTGGTAAAGTTGTCGCTGGTTTGGGCGTTGGTTTAAAATGATGATGGTATACGTGTACAACTGTTGGTTTGAAGTTCGGCAGAAGCGAAGGCGTAGAAGTGCAAAGATACTCATCGAAACATTTTACCAAAAAACATCGATGAAACGCAAAAAATGCCACGTCACATTCATCTGACTTACAGCAAAGTTCAGTACAAACGTAAGACCCATTGACTCTACCAGCGTCTGTGAATTTTCCTGCATGGAGACCACCTCTTAGAGTAACATTGTGTGCCGTTATAGAAGAAATGCAGCCTGGAGGAGTTGGCGGATTCACCATGGAAACTTGATCGACCTCCCCTATTGTCGTTACTGTTAGAGTCGTGTTAATCGGCTTGGTAGACAAATTTAGTGGATCTTTAGAGCTTGTTTGATTGATCATGTATTGGACAGCTACCGGTTCTTTCGTTACTGTAACATTTTTAGACAAAGTGGGTGAAACATTAGTTTTCATAGCCTGGGCAGGCTTTATCTTGCCAGTTGATGCAGCTTCCGTCCCATGATCAGTCAGTTGTCCACTTTCACCTCGTGAAACGCGAGAAATCATCGGATGAAAAGTCGTCGCCAAGGCTGGTGTGCTATCACACATATGGGGATTAGAACTTGAACAAGTTACCAAGAAGCAGTGGTTAAGTACCATAAATGCTAGATCACAGATAAGACTGGCACAGCAGTGCTCCGAGCAACTATGGATGTCGTTCACTTTGCCCACCTCGTGGAACAAACCCGAAGAAAGTCCGCCTCGTAAAGTTCGGTTGTATTCCACTTCACCAGTTACACAACTTGACACTTCGACATCAGGAGCTTGAGTGGGTACGGCAGGGACAGTGGATTTTGTCGCACGGAATTTCCTCCTGTTATGCGACAAGACTTTAGGTGGCTTAACTGTAGGCTTTTGTGTGAGACTGACACGTGCTGTAGTTGCGGTTGGGCTTGAGTGCCTACCAACGGTTGGTCTTCTCGCGTGTTTAAGTAAATCTTTGCTAGCGGTGTAGGTCACTTTTTCCTTGGCTGTTGGTTTGTGGCGCGTGGCCTTCATTGCTGGTTTAGCGATCAGTGTTATGTCGAGCTTTTTGTTATGTCCATTTCCTTTCTTTTCAAATGAAACTTTCACTTTACCAGAAACGCTATTTTCAACTTTAGCTTTATTATAAGCCTTGATTACCATTGAATTTGCACCTTTTGTTGAAGTATAACTCCTTTGGCCTTCAAGAGAAGGAGGACGCTCTCGTGGGTGTGTAACTGCTGTTGTCTTATTTGACTTCTCGTTTTCCTCGCCTGTAGGACTGGCCCTATGACGAGTTTCCTCATGTGAAATTCGCTTGTCTGGAACGGAATTTGTAATTGTTGCATTTTCGTACTGTAAGTCATTCCTTTCATCTTCCTTTATCAATTCCACAGGATTCATTCTGTTCTTTAAGTCTTTGGAAGGAATGATTGACGCAACAGACTCTGACTTGCTTGAAGAGTGACTCACCGGCTCAGCGGGTCTCATGAGCTGGAA